ATACATACACACCCCCCCCCCCCCCCCCCAATATTTTGTGACTTGCATGAATATAGTTTTCTTTAGTATTTTGAACTTTTGAATACTTTGCCCAATTTTGGCTTCAACAGAAAAAGTTCTACCTTACTTACAGATGTCAAATGCTAATCTGTTTTGGGGAAGCTACCATCTACCATAAAACTTCATTAAATATGTGTGTGTACACATGTAGTGTGCAGCAAATCATGCAAGTTAATTCTCTCAACAAGCTTCACTGTTTGATCAAAATGTTTAGTATGCAGAGGTGTCTTGCAGAACACACAATCTTCTCATACGCTTTTTGTCCTAGAGATGAACTGCCTTCAAACTCTCCTTAAATTTCCCTTCTCCAACGAGAGAGTGATGCTCATCAGCTGATGCTTTCTGGAAATAGGAATGCTTTTGGTAGGGTTTTTGGAAAAGCATTGACTTCGGGTCATTCAGTCTCCAACTGCGTAGACACATACATTTCTGAGTGTATCTAAAACTGAAGCTGAAAAGTCAAGTCCATGCTGTATATAAATTTTGTCAAACAGAAACAGTCATCTTTGATATTTACCTAGGACAGCACTGACATGTTCTGGCAGGATTCTGGAGATGCCTTCCAGCAACCCCTGCTCGGCAATGAAGGCAAAAGCCTTCACATGCCCGGAGCGAAGGACAGGCAGCAAAGATGGACTGTACATTTTTGCTGGGGTCAGCAATATATCTCCTGCAAACAAAAAAGTGTCAATTCAATCAATTTGTTTAAAAGGTCATTAGGTGTTCAGTGGGAATGCTTCTCTGAACAGCTTCTCTTCGGCTCTTTGTGGCAGACAACCTTGGGAAGTAGCAAAAAGTGCTGACCTACTCTTCCAAAACTCTGGATGCAACCCACAGACCTGCCCCAAAGACTGATTAACCCTAACCCATCCTGAAGTAAACAACCCTTAGCAGCATCTAGTTATGAAAATGTCTGAACACGATTCATTTGCAGGTTTGCTTTTGAGAAGAAAGATGTTGTACCTAGAGTCTTGTCACCACAACTGCCAGGTGCTGGTGAGGAGTAGCCTAAGGAGGACATTAAGAGAATCTTCCTTACAACGCTAAAGCCACGGCTGTGAATCCCAGAAGAGGCCAGTCCAATAAGCACATCCTCCTCATCAGCTCTCTGCAGCCCCAGAAGCATCTGCCCTCGCTCCACTGCGCCAACCACAAAGCCAGCCAGGTCATACTCTCCAGAAGAATACATGTCAGTCACCTCAGTCATCTCCCTGCCTAAGTGGGGAGAGAAGGCACTAGCTGTAAGTATGTTTTATTGTTACCTTTAAATCTATAGCATCTCCTAAAATAAGCAATGTATCCAGGATAGCTGCAGAGACATGCAACCTGAGAAGCGCATTCAGATGTATTTTAGAAATCCTTCTTGATTTCTTACTTCACCTCAAGACTTCAACAAAACAAAGCTCCATGAAGTTACTGAAAGAAGAAACTTTTTTTATTTCATGCTACCTCCCTGCTATGACTGAGTATCAGAGAGGGAATGAAAACATATTAACACGTCAAGAATGTGAGGCATCCAGTTTTGGTCTCCTTTGTACAAGGATAAATAAGCAAGAATTAGGATCCAAATGCATGAATAGTAAAAATATCCTTCTGTGCTGACTTATTTTACAGATAAGGATGAGTTTAAGCCCAAATGCTTGACTGTTTCACTGAACAGAAACCAACAGTTCTAATGCCACATACTGCCTCTGCCTACAAATCTATTTCACTAGTAATCGTTTCAACACCAGAGTCTTCAAATCTCAAAGGAGACGAGTGCTCATACCCAGGAAAGCGCATCCTGCATTTCTGCAAGCTTCAGCTATTCCCTCTTTGATTGTTTCAGTCACTTCAATGTCAAGTTTGCCACGGGCAAAATAACTGAGGAAGAAGAGAGGCTCTGCTCCTTGAGCCAGGATATCATTGACACACATGGCAACCAGGTCCTGACCTATGGTGTCATGCTTCTTACACACTTGTGCAATCTGCAAAACACAGTGGGAACCAGCAGTGGTGACAAGAAATACACAAAACTCAGATATCAGTCAGTCAAATAAGCAGAAATCTTCTCTTCCCTGGAAAGAATCGCTATAGAACATACATGCAGAAGATAACCTGGTGCATCATCTAGTTTAAATCAAGAGAAAACAACTCATTTTCTTGCAAAGAAAAGAAAAAGCTAATTTGTTTTTTTTGAAACATTCATTCAAATTCTAGCACCAGCTACCCAGAAATTGTCATTTTAGGTTGGTTGGTTGTTTGCTTTTTGGAATATTAAGTCAAATCCAGAATAACAGAGCTGTCTAAAAGCAATTACAAATTCCCAGGATATTCAACCTGTAGAACATCCTAGCTATTTCCAAAAATATGATCAGGTTGCTCATACATCACTGTGTGTTCTGCTTTGCTTTAATTTCACTGGGCTATGCAGCAAAACTGAAACAATTTATTAAGTAGTCGTCGTCTTCTCCAAGTCCACACAGAATGATATTCTTCACTCCCACCCTCCCCAAGGAGTCTTTTGATCTCAGTTATCTCATGTCACAGACAACAACGTGGGTCTGGTCTGTAGGCTCCCTTGAAAGACGGGTCTTCCACAAAGCAATATTTCCCTCAGGAAGGCTGCTATTTGGTTTTTAAAAAAGTTATCAGGGTGTTTGCATCCTACGAGTAATGAAACCTGATTCAGACATCATGGCTTCTATAAAGTAGCAACATGTACACTACTTTATTACAAGCACAGGTTTCTAGACTGTCAGGGATACACCCGAGCAGTTCCGCTTGTGCCAAATGCTGATGTAAATGCACAGCACCAGCTCACACAGTGCAATTCATCTCTGACAGTTACCACTTCAGGGTCTGAAACAGGACAAAGATTGCCTATGGATGGATAAATTTTCAAGGTAACTACCTTTTACTGACACAGCTCTATCAGTGTAGTTATACCTGTGCAGAAAAGCTCAGTACAGGAAGATGGGCAAGGGAAAAATGCAGCTAAATACTATCACTGGCATGAAAATGGTAACAGATCAGCACCTAAACAAAATCTGAGTTTGGATTACCAGCCTGATTTCTTTCACCAGCTGGTGGATTTAGAAGTGCTATGGAAACCAGTCATCCCATGTCCTTTGTTGCATTATAACATCTCCCTCCCACTGATCTAGTAACAATTCGTATAGGCATTGGCCAACTTTTTTTGGCCAAGGAAGAGTCTTGGGAACAGTCTGTGTAAACACAGTTGGGAATGTCTCTCTGCCAAGCAGTTGGAACAGATTCACAAGAGCCAGCACCAATCACTTTTTCATGCTCAGAGGTGTCCAAGGATGTAGGACTGCAAAAGACCTTCTGGATTATTATGTTCAGTCTCCTGCTGTTGCAGGAAGCCACACCATATCACCCCATTACTAAAGGTATACACATCAACTTGAAACAAGTTAAACTGCTGTGCTTGACCAGTGAAAGGCAGCTTCAGACCTCCACTCCTCTGATGGCTGAAACCCTTCTTCTGATCCAATATATAAATACATTCCTGGCTCAACTTATCCTATGTGTTCTTGTGTAATTAGCATTCTTTATCTATTGGCTTCTCTTCCCCTTTGATGTTTATCTCCTCCATCCTTTTCCCCAGTGCCCTGACAGAGGTAATTGTCCTATCTCTCTGCATACAATTTATTAAGCTAAGTCTGACAGTTACCATTTCAGCATTCCCCCGTACTCCTCTGAACTGACCCTTCTCAAAGCCAGTGGACTCTCTATTTTATAGCAGAAATTCTGGTTCTTGGTTGAAGTGCTCAGCTAAATTTTTTTAGTTTATTATCATTTCATCACAAAATATCCAGAGCCTCCACATTCTCAGTAACATATCCACAGGCCTTGCTAAAATGATCATCTACAAAGTTCAGATGACCATTGCAGTGGACTTGAGATGTACTTATAATGCTCAGAAGGGTGCAAATGGTGCAATTGGCTGTGGCATCTAAAACAGTCTTGGGAGATAACATAAGCTTTGCTACAGTCAAGTTGCAAGTTACCTGCAGTTTAGGTCCAAGGCCTTTAGTTTGAGATACCAAGATAGGATCATCATAACCAGATGCTTTCAAGTCAAAGAAACCAGCAAAGCTTCCTACTTCTGAATGACTGCCTGCCAAGTACAAATACATCAAGGATCATTTTTAAGGGAAATAAAAAGACCCAAAACACTCACCAAGGCAAGTACTGCAAATTATGATTTCTTGGACAAGAGAGCACTGACAAAAACATGCACAGCTTTATGAAGCATGGACCCCAAAGTCACGTATTTCATGGTGTTGTAAATACATCTTTATTATTCTCTATTTGTGACCTCTGGATTGTGTATAGCAAAGGTTAAACATTTTACCAAACTGTTAATGGCTTGCCTTTTTTCTCCATGTAGCTACTTTTTTTCCTAAGGTGAAAAAAAATCAACAAGAAATTTTCCTCAGTAGATCACTGCTAAGAGTAAAGGACATAGTCTGAAGAGCAAATAACAAGTTCGGTGATTGTTAGCCACAGCCTAATAACTGTTTGGATGTTGTACTCATGTATACAGCTGGTAGGATCACTTTTGTCCAGTGATGTACAAAGCCATTCCATTAATCCATGAGTTAATTCTGTTCACTACACTAACCTTGAAAAAATTAAATTATCTCCATGGTAAGCCAACTATTTTTTAATGAAGCAAAAGAGGAGCGATGAGAAAGAAATGAGCGTTTTCTGTCTTCATGGTGACCCCAGCCCAGCTTCTCAAGCTGAACTTCAATGCCAAGAATGCATTGCTCACCTCCTGGGGAAAAAAAAGATCTGTTCCATTCAATATACTGAGGAAATTCAAAGATTCTTCCCAGTCTTACCTGAGGTACCACTTACAATTGCTGTTTCCGGCTGATGAAACAAAACGTCACTGGCTACAGCTTCCACATGTCTCTCTTTGTATATTAGACCCCTGCGGAGAGTAAAAGACAAGCTAGCAGCAGTAGTGACATTTTCTGCTTAGACCATCGTTCATCACACAAATGGGAACAACAGATATAAAACTTTGGACTAGCATCTATTTCTGCTAGAGCCTTTGCTTACATACAGAGACTGTTTGAGAAGCCGTATACCCCGATGGCCAATGTCCTTCCTGTAAGTGGCACCCTTGAAACGTATGGCTGCTACACCCCTGTTGGCTTCTCCCAGTGCTTTCATCAGGTCCTCCTTAACAGCAGTAATGGAGAGGACTCTGCCACCACTTGTCACCACTCTGCCATCCTTCAGCGTTGTGCCAGCATGGAACACCTGCAGCCCTAACTCTTTGGCTTGCAGCAGCCCTACAAAAGCAAAAGGAATTCTCGTAAGTATTTTAAATCACACACTATGTTGGCAGACCAGTGAAGATTTAAGTCCTTTCTTCAGTCAAGAGAGAATAACAATAAAGCTTCCCACCTTACCTTTCTTCTGAGAAACAGCATTACCAGTGAAGGGTATCTCACCCCACTGGCCCTAAGACTACCTTCTGAGACATCCAGTAAGGATGTTCCCTTGAGCAGCCGAGGGAACTGGAATTGTCTAGCCTGGAGGAAAGGAGGCTGAGGGGAGACCTCATTGCTCTCTACAACTACCTGAAAGGAAGGTGTAGCGAGGTGGGGGTCGGTCTCTTCTCCCAAGTAACCAGTGACAGGACAAGAGGAAACAGCCTCAAGTTGCAGCAGGGGAGGTTTAGATTGGATATTAGGAAAAATTTATACACTGAAAGGGGTGTCAGGCATTGGAACAGGCTGCCCAGGGAAGTGGTGGAGTCCCCATCCCTGGAGGTATTTAAAAGATGTACAGATGTGGTGCTTAGGGACATGGTTTAGTGGTGGGCTTGGCCGTGCTAGGTTTACGGTTGGACTCGGTGATCTTAAAGGTCTTTTCCAACCGAAGTTATTCTATGACATACATCACACAGGAACAGAAATAAGGGATCCAGGAGCCACAACAGGACATATAACTACCCTGTGCCAGGGCAAAGCTGTGCTGTATATTGCAATTGTGAATAATTTCATACTGGAAAGCCCTGCATAAATCACAATTCATAGCAGTTTACTGCCTGGATTCTCCCCTCTCCCTGACATTAAACCATTAATGTAATGTTACCTGAGCATTCCCCTAGCTATTCTGCCGTGCCCACTCCACACAATTCCCTACCACGCCTGGAATCAATGCTCTACAAACACTTGCAGGTGGCTGCCCAATAGCTAAAACAAATTACTTATTTTGTTCTTTTTTTTTGTCTCCATGTATTTTCCTGTTAGAGGAAAGCAAAATTGTTCAGGGGTTTTTTAGATTCATATTTTGAGGAAAGGATAAGGGAAGAGGAGTAACTGCTGCCATCACCTGGAAAAAGCAAACCAAAACACAGTTTTCCCCTTGCTATCAGCTAGATAGATTTTATAAATGAGTAAAAAGGACCCTTATACTTGCTGAAGGTACAGTGTGTTATGTTGCCACAGCACTGCCCTGACAAGGTCAAAGCTGAGCCCCAGCTGGCCTTGCTGCAATTGAAATCTAACTCCTTCCCATCCTGTTTTAAGGAACACTCCAGAATAAAATGTTTGTTAAGCCATCAAAATGTGGGATATGAAATATGAAAAACAGGGAAAAAAAACAGTAAAACCTACACAGCTCCAAAGGTTGGAGTGTAATAATAAAAGAATGGATTGAATTTCATTGTTTTGACTGTCTTTTTTTGTGATTAACAAGCAGGGGGGTCATACTATCTCACTCCTAAAGGTATGAACATCAAATTGAAAAAAGTTAAGTTGCTGAGTCTGATTAGTGAAAGGTAGCTCGCTAGCAGAAGGATTAATTCAGTTAGGTGGTTTAGATTTTTACAGTTACAGAAATGCAGAGTTCCCCAGAATATCACTGATAAAGCAAAATAAATACAGTGAGGGAACTGGAAGAGGAGGGTGGGTGAGGAGAACATGACAACGGAAATCTTGACAAGGGAAAAAACAACATAACATGACCTTCTCCCTGGGTGATGTAGGGTAACTGGAGTTCTGACAAAAATTAAGATGGCCTTGATACAAGATCGGTTGTCTGGGTTGCTTTACACAAGGCAGAGTGTTGGACTGGCAAGGCAGTAGCTGAGGGGGAAGGAAATAGTAATGCAACAGTTCCCTCTCTTTTTAAACATTTAAAAAATCTTAATGAGATATTAAACCTCAAGAATTTTAACACAGGAAATGAATATTCACCCAAAGCCCACATGCCCACCTTTCCAAAGACCCTTCAAGCCTTATGAAGAAGAGGTCCTTATTAGTATTACACAGCAATGGCCCTGGCTGGCACAAGGGAAGGAACCATGCTGATGGTGGAGGCATGCACTGCTCTTATTTTAAAGGCCACAGGTCCTCAATTCTCACCCTTATCACTTGATCAGGCATTAGCTAAGATAATGCGATCTCCTGGTAAGGGAGCAAAGCTAGGAAAAAGGAAAAAAATGACAACATTGCAGTCCACATTTCCAGCACAGTTTGTGGAAGTACTGCGCAAGGATGCACCAGAGCTGTTCCAGGAGGATGTAATTCCCCATCACCTTCTTATCTCAGCAACCAGCTACAGACAGAGCTTTATAGAATGATGTAAACATTTAGCCCTGTACTACTTTGGACAGGCATACACTCTCGTTAAAAGACTTTACTGAACAGCTATCCCTTCACAACGACAAGAAGTGATGGATGAAGGCAGACTCATAGGGTGTGAGGGGCGGGACAGAGGAAAGCTGTACAGATCTGAGAGAAGAGGTAAATGCAAACCCACTGAACTATTACGTTGAAATTAAATAGTAAACAACCTACTGCAGTTACCTGTTACCTCCATGCCTTTGTCATAGTCTCCTGGGTATCCTGGACTTGCCATGACCACACACACAGCTGTACTATTTTCTGACCAGGCTGGCATGAAGCTGCAGAGTTTGCCATCAATTGTTGCTTGAATTACTTCATAAAAGTCATTTTTAAGCAGTGGAAGAATTACCTGCAGAAAATTTTCATAGTGATAGAAGTTAATTTTTATTTTGCTGGCTTGTTGAAATTCAACTTAGGGAACATTCAATTAACAGAGTAAAATCCATACCTGCCAAACTGAAAATACTGTATTTCCCTATACCAGTAGATTTGGAAACTACAGGTGAGCATTAATTTGCAGCACCTTTTTGGAACAGTCATAAATTTACAAACATGAGATGTGAGATTACATAGAAGGAAACTGAATTTAGGCCCCTCCCATTCCGCTTCCATCCAGAAAAATAAAACCTGAGGAACAGCTCTTTAACTTGAAGTCCTTAACTAATAATTCACAGAAGCTGACTAGCCAAAATTTTAAGTTAGCTCATACATTGTACAAGACATTCGCATTCAGATCTGCAGGTTCAGGGGAAAGAAGACATAAATCCAAATATAGCATGCAAATTTCCCTAGAGATAAACTAGAACAGTCAGAGGTAAAAGAATGAAGCATACTTAAGTTTCCAGTATCTTTTACTCACCTGGCACTGAGGGTCACCAAACTGACATTTAAAGCTTAAAATTTTCATACCATCTTTAGTAAGCATTAAACCTGTTTGCAGCACACCTGAACAGAGAGAACAACACAGCCAAGCAAATTAATTTAAATGTTTTTTTCAAGAACTCCTTTAAATGCAACGCAGTATTTTGGAATGTGGGATGCATTTCTGCAAATCATAAGGAATCAGGAGTGAGGATTCTGCAAGCACTTATACACAAGTCATAATAATTCCACAATAACCAACAAAGTGGCAAGCAGCAACCTGAGGAACATTGCATCATGTTTTAGACTGAGTACAACAGAAAGCAATCTCTCTACATCAGAAAGTTGAGTTCCGCCTTCTGCTACAGCTCTCTAAATGCAGGCATTCAGAGATCAGAAGGAACTGACAGGATGAAAAAACAGTTCCCATAAAACCCCATTCATTACGCAGACCTTGTGATTTTCTTACCATTAAGTGCATTATGGTTATGCATAAATAGAGATGTATAACTCTGTATTTCAGGCAAAAATACCAAACCAAAATTCACTACTGCTACTAGCAAACAAAAACAAACAAAAACTTATTGAAGTTGGTATTGGGTAATTTCTACTGCAACGCACATATTTGCACATGGTGATCTAAAGCAGGCCTCTCATTGCATAATCAGAAAACCAATCCCCACAGAATAACAAGTGTTAAATTTTAAACCTCACAAAGCATCAGGTCCTCCAGTGTCATCATGAAAATGCTCAACACCCACTACACTGTTACTGAGGATCTGGGCATTGTAAAAAAAGTTACCAAATAGCAGAGAATGCATCACAGACTGGAACCCAACTCTTTACACGTATGTGATCTTGACAGTCTTCAGTACCAAAAGCAGCCATTGGCATTAAGTGACAGCTGTTCTTTTTTCAAAACAGCCTTAAGACAAAGAGTGAACAGTACAACCAAACTTAAGTATATATTCTACCCTGAACTACAAAGAGTCTGGTTGCAACTGTTTTAATAAAAAATATTTCATAAAAATACAGTATGTTTTATGGAGAAAAGACAAAAATTCTTCTCTTCAAAGGAAGAGCTATAAACCAAATCAGTGAGACTTAACATTGCGTGACAAATTAACTACTTTTCTTTTAAACAATAATTATTTGGAATTCAAAAGCAATCTCTAACAATGAAACTAACCTTGATATGACTTTACCTTGTTTTTCAGTTGAATGCTTACTTACCTACATATGCTGTTCCTTCTTGTCTCATACTATCAACAACATGTTGAAGGATAGCATCATTGATTTTCTCTAGGAGAACTTCTGGAACCTGACGATCAACATCAAACTGATTGAGACAGTGATGACATTTGCTGGACTAGCTCATAGGACCTGGAAGGACTGGGGTAAGTAAATGCCTCTGCTAGGTTTTCTGCTCTCCAACCCCCAACCAGTGTGCTCCTTCCATTAGGGTGCCACTGCCTGAAGGATAGATCTGATCCTCTGTCTCCCAAGATTTTTTGTTTGGTTCTTTCTTTAGAAGGCCAGTTTCAAGGAGGTTTCAGACACTGGCAACCTGGGCTAGGTTACACAGTAAGATTGTTTCTGTACTTATAGAAAAACACACTAATAATGTACTTGAGCAGCATATTTAGAACAATGCAGCCAGCTTTAAGAATCAACAACAAGAAACCCAAGATTATGTTCAAGACACAAAGACTCCAGGTCTGCAGGGAATTTTGCAGGGACATTTCAAGTCATGCTAATGGGAGCAGAGAAACACCAAGTTTAAGAATAATGGAAAAGGTAAAAGAGAGACCATTCCTCAGAACACTGGCTCATTAAATCCCAAAGAATGACTACTAAAGTTTGAGCCCTCGTAACTGAGTATTGCACTTACACAAGCAAAGCATCAATCAATTCCAGAAGAAATCTGGCCTGTGTGATAGAAACAAGATTGGGCGCTAAAGGACATAGATGTGATCAGCCTTATTGCAGGCTGAGAAGAACAACTGCTATACCTGAGGAACTGGGCAATAGGCTCCCATCCCTCCAGTGTTTGGACCCTGGTCACCATCCAATAATCGCTTGTGGGCCTGCGCTGGGGGCATCGAAGCAACAGTCACACCATCCGTGAAGCACAAGCACTGTGAAGAGATGCACGCAACACAGAAACAGTGACAACGTACTGTCCTAAGGGAAGTTAACGCTGCTGGTCACAGGCTGAGGCTCAGTTCTGCCAGGAAAATTTAGGAATCAAAGATAGAAAGCAATAGGATCCACTTATTCTGCTCCAAGTCCACTGACCTGAAGGATTCATTGAGCTTTCTTGCTCATTTTTAAATAATCAAGAGAAATGGTGGCCCTCATAACAATTCCTTTCTGATGGATTAGATCTCGAGCTATCAGTCACATGGACATACGCTTACCTTAAGGCATGTGAATAGTCTTCACTGACTTGACAGAATTATTCATAGGTTTCAAGTTAAACTTATGTGTTTGCAGATCAGGGGCCTGAATGAATGTGAGGTATTCTCAGTGCAGGACAAACCTTGCACAAAGAACTCATTTTCAGTTTTCATGTGGCATATAATATGCATGCTTAAGTTTTATCCTGCCACTGAGTAGTAATCCATGGTAAAGGAATGTGCTAAAATAGGTGCTAAATATTAGCACAAAATTATTGATGTAACAAGAATTACCAAGACAAATTCTTGGTTTACGTCACCTTAGGAAAAAAAGATCATTTTCCACCTGAAAAGATCACTATTATTGCAATTTTATGGCTAATGTAGAAGAAAATTCTGCTGATAACATGCATTGATTAGTATAACATCAAATTGCTTAGATTGCATATTTATTTAAGTCCAAATAAAACAAAAAAACTACTTGAAACAATAAACGTGTGTTTATGCATAGAGCATAGCAGTAATGCTAAAGAATAACAGCACATGACCACGCCATTGATCACATACAGAAAGTTCTTCCCCTTGAAGAAGTTCTTCAATAACAACCATCTCTCCAAACATTCTGTCCTGTACAAAAAAAAAAAAATTTTCTCCAGTTAGCAAACATGACATCCACTGGATAAATCCTCTTTTTATTTTCTTTTAACAGAAAAACAATGTATATGAAAAGTACCAGCTTGCTTGCATTCTGGTATGTTTAGCAAAGCCAATAGAATCTCATTTGGAAATAAGGAAGAGACATTGAAATGCACCTTATCAGACCCTGGGAGCCAAGGAAAAATGAAAAAGTTGGAGGGGCAGGGCAGCGGGACTCAGTGCTGGAACAAGAGTCCAGTCCCAAATGCTACAAAGCCTTGCTCACTGCCCGCTGTCTGGGGCAAACATGAGGAATTTGAGGATGATACCCAGAGAAATTCCTTAGTCAAATGGGCTTCTGAAAATACTTGCTTCCTGTAGCCAAAATTACAAACTCACAGGCTACAGAACATCAAGAATTGGATTCCCACTGATTAATTAAAGATTTATCCACCTGCATAATCTCTTGGACAGCTCTGCAGGCTTCCTCTTTGCTGGCTGCAATAGTCACTTCTTTTCTAGCAGCAGGGCCCCTTGCCCGTACAACTTGCGCAGGAAAGTCTGTGCTTTAAATGAAAGCAAAAGTGAGATTCAGGCATCCCTACTGCACCTAGTGAAATTATAATTTTTAAGCTGAATGCCTCCCATATTCTTCCTTTTTTTTTTTTTTTTTCCAAACAGTTGAAGAATAACACATCAGAAAGACACATTCCCTGCTAGCCCATCCTGTCCTGGAGGTGAATGGACTCTTATAGCCCTTAGCACAGGACTGTGAAGCAGAAATCCATGAATTCTATTGTTGGATTTCTGACACCAACTCAATGTATATCCTTGGACAAGTCATTGAACTCAGTGAAACAGCTCACAGTTTCTTCTTCACCTCACTTTAATACTTCACACTTTTTCCTGAGTTGGGTTATTATTTTATTCCTGTCATAGGTTTGGAAAGATGAACTCATTGATGATTTATAGTTTTATAACACCAGATTACAGTACATAATCCTATAAACTACTATGGAAGTTCTGTTTAGGGCTGTACGGTTAAGGCTGAGTTAGGTCTTGCACATAAAGGATAAAAGGATAGGTTAGAACTAGTGTATTAACACTGTATCCCCAGAATTGTTCCACTTAATCTGAAACACAAACTAAATCCAGAAGAAAAAAAAGAACAAAATGGCATAATGTTAACATACTTTAACTACACTTTATCCATTCAGCTCTCTCCAGCTTGTGGACAGTCAAATAAAATGTTCCTTTTGAAGAGCTGATCCTACACACTACTAGCCTGTTTTCTGAAACAACATTGCATTCCTCTTTTCCACATTACGATTTATATTAGGATAAATCTCAAACCTAAATTTATACAAGCAGTCAAAGCAGGCTCCCACAAAGCTCCCTTTCTCCACATCTCAGTGTGCTGACCTGAGATACAGTTTTCCTTTTTGAGTCTTACGCATGCTTACAGAAACACAAGCTGTTGGCCTGTTTCTCTACATGGCAGTAATACAGACTAAATGCTGTTACAGAGCAAAGGCAGTGAAAAGGTTGTTTTTATTTGAAAAAAAAAAAAAATTCCACTAGATTATACCACATGTAGCATGTGACAGCAAAGACAAGAAGTCCGTGAAACCAACACACGGCAACAGACCAGTGTAGCTGAACACAGCAGCTGCTGTGAGACTGGACCAAAATAGCCACAGAGGTAAGTTACTGTCCCAAAGGATCCCCAGTGACTTCAGAGGCATTACCGCTCCAAGCAATTGCAGATATACACAGTTACATTTCTCTCTCCATGTAAGAGAGATGCTGTCTAGCCTTGAAGAAATAAAAGTATCCTCCTTAATTTATAGTATTTGACTAGAACCTCCCAAATCACTCCACAGATACCATTTTGCTGGTATCTGTCTGTGTAGAAATGATTCTTACCCTTACAGAAAGGGCTATTGAAATATTTTTTCTGTCACAATTTTTTTGTCTTTTAAATGGCTAACTACCATCCTGAAGAAGCTGACCAAAGGGAAGAAGAGCTGTGATCTGTGAACAGAAAAACCAAGTTCCCTGCACCTTCACCATCTGTCTCTAATTACAAAACTAATTAATTCAGCAGCTACTTGAGAAGAACAATGGTTGAAGAGTTACCAAGTTCTAGGTAACTATCATGAGTGAAGACCAAATGCATAGATAAATTGTCAGAGGAGTTTCCAGTATCAAAATATTTACCTGATAATAAACCTACAAGCTTCCTGGGGATTGGTGAAGGCTTTCCATCTTGCTGTTGGGATCCCATGTCGATCCAGAAAGGCTTTGGCAAAACTGGCGTTGGATGCCAGCTGGGCTGCTTTTGCAGATGGTCCAAAACACCTAACTCCTGCTGCTTTCAAGTCATCAACAATCCCTAATTATCAAAAATAGCAAAAGAATCAAGTTGTCTCTTTGGAAACATCAAGTCATTTTGACAAAAGGAAAACCACATAACCATTCTGGCACTCTGTTACACTTTTCCTTATCTCAAACAGCTAATTCATCCTTAAAGTAAGGTTCTGCATATCCAGTGACCTGTTTCATCATTTAGTTTTAAGAAGTCTTTAGCTCTTTACGTTACTAAGCCCTGTCACAGTTACCACCCCGTCACTACTGAAAGGACTGCCTGGTACTTCTGTTCACAATTTAAGACATGGAGATCTCACTGTACCACGTTACAATAAATGCACGTGATGGTCTGGCTACTGTTGCATACAGCAACAATGTTAGGACTATCGCAAGAAAATTCTTTATATAAAGGAGAGCAGAGCAGAAGACACAAGAATACTTGTAACCGTTACTGATTCTTGATCTTGTATGATTTCCCCTGCTGATTTCTAACATAGAAAAAACAGCATACAGCTACGAACCAAATGTTTTAAGTGACTACAATCTACAAGATAATCCAAATTTTCTTGTTCTTCAGTTTAGTTAAGTCAGTGTGTGTCCTAGGAGCCAAAAGAACTTATTTTAAAGCAGAATTCAAGGTGCTGATGATTTTTACTGTCCAGTTAATTTATTTCAGCCTTACCAGCTGCCAAAAGAGCTTCTTGTCCAACTAACACAAGTCCAATGTTATGATCTTTGCAGAACTGGGTAACAATAGTGTGATTGCTCACTAATACAGCTGAAAAGGAAATAAAATTAAGTTACCACTGTGAAGCCTAAATAAGAGATGGGAGATGAGAATGTCATTGTTCCATCTCCCTAAGAAGTATGATTAAAATAATGAAACAGCCCATGAAACATCCCCCTTTTTACCTGAATTGGAAATTTTTCCATTGTCAGCTGTTCCTGCATTTCCTGGAGCAACAAACACATGTTTTACGTGAGGGGACTGGGCCAACTTCCAGGCCAGCGCATGCTCTCTCCCTCCGCTGCCGATCACAAGCACCCGATCAGCCATTAACCTGTGCAAACCCAGAATCATCTCATGTATCTACATATAGTACTATCTATTTATTTCACAAACCCATGTAAAAATAAGCAAAAATATATAAATTATGTCTCTCACTTATAATTGGTAAGTAATATCAATCCAGTTTGTATTAGAAAGGTATCTATAAGACATCTGAACAAAGTGACTGTACCAATAGTGTCACTGGATGGATGCATCATTCACGTTTGGTTTAAATACTGACAACAATGAAATCACCAAGAATTTTTTCCACTTGTTTCAGTATAGTCAAGATTTCCTTTCTTAAGTATCCAGGCTGAAATAATCTTGTCATGACTAGGTCTCATCAAGTCCTTTGCAGAACTACACAGGGCAGAACCAAGTTTCATATAAATGCTCTAGGTAACTTACCAGATAAATATTTTTCAAAGTGAACACTGAGGTCAATCTAGGAACTTTTATGAGCGTAAACATTCTCAGTAATAAGTGGTAAAGACAGTTTTCAGAACAGATTTTATACTTTGACAATTGATAAGAGGGCAACTTCAGCAGAACAGCATGCTCTATAAAAGAACAACTGTTAATTTCACTAGCACACTGACATTTTAAACAGTTCCTCAATAATGTTTCTAGGCAAATTAGTTTTGATTTATTTCAGAAATATTATCATACCTAATGTAGGTCACATCTGCAAACTTAATTTTTCTGTATGTGCTGAATGTGGGCAAATGTCAGAAAGAAAAAACACCCCAGAACATGACCTTTAAGGAAGATGCTAATGGCATAAACCAGTCCTTGCCCAGGAAATAGATAATAAATTAAAGACACCATAAAACACCAACTTTGCAAGCAACACATCCACAGTCTTTTCCCAAGAAATCATAACCACTCGTTTGAGTTCATTACATAGCTTCCAAAAGCAAACAGAAGCTAAATGGTGACACCGAGGTATAATATTTCAGAAAAGATGTTCATAGAATCATAAAGCAATAACCATGTTTAGAGTTCCTGAGACAGTATTAAGATATCTTAACCTACTATCAACAAAATAAAATTTAACCATATATTTTCATAACTATTAAATTGTCCAAGTACGATGTAAGTACTTCAAGTATCCTGTCCCTGGGGACTACAGACCATTGCGGATTATCTAAGAGGCTAATTTTAAGTTTTAGCTATTGCACTTTAGGCTTATAAACACAGAGCATATGCGTAATGCTTTTATTAATCTCCAGACTGATTTTCTTGCAAAAGACTTTTCTAAGTCTTTATACTGTGTAACTATCCAATACGTCAGACTTTGTCTTTCCTTCTGTCACTGCTTGACAAATAATTCTGGAATCACTAGGAAGTTGCTGTGAATTTAAAAGTAAAGGGTTACAACTGCTCTATCTCTAACAAAGACATCAACATGCTCTCTACAAAGCTTCATTGGGCACTACAGTCCAACTGTTATTAATAAAAAAACAAAGTAGTTTTAAAAGTGAAATTATTTTTTCCCTTAAATATAATTTCACAATTCACTGAAGTTTTCTAAGGCAGAATAAATTAAAGTTCCTGACTGAGAAGAGAGGGAAATCAAGCAGTGCCTCCTACCCTGTGGAAAAAACACACATTTCCATTCCACATCATAGTGAGGACACTAAAGACGTTTTTTGCAAAGCAATTCAAAAGCGTGCTGGAAGAGACAGTTGGTCCTAGAAGAAAGGCTGTAGAGAGGGACATCTCACTTGAGTTGGCTTCCCTTACCGTGTCAGACCCTGCTGTTTGTCCACACAAAAGGCTGAGGAGTCTTCCAGATGGATTCGAGTTCTTCCTTCAGCTCCTGTTTCAGATCCAAATGATTTCTGATCTCCTAAAGCCAAGGCTAAGGGTGAGAGGGTGAAAGAAGCAGACAGACCTGCATGCTGCCCTGTCTCCTTTTATCCTCCTATCTAACAGGAGGATCCCCAGCAGGATCCCCTTAATGCCACCCGCCCTTCAAAACACACCTCCCCACAGACTTCAGCAGTGTGGACCATTCTCCTCGCTTCCCATTTTTCTTTAGCTAACAACAAAACCAACTCCTCCCCACCAATCAGTCCTACAACGTTAATAGTATTCAACCCTGGGAAAAAAGAAAAGCAGCTACAGTGTGGTATCAAAAAGCTGAGATCATTGTTCAGTTCCCATGTTAAGAGCAATTTTATATCCTCTGGCAAGTAAAGAAGCTGAAAGACCTTGTAAAAATAAAACACAGCTTTCACAGTCTACAGCTAAACAGAAACACCCCAGTTAAAACCTGCACACATAACTCCCACAGACCTATTCTTTTTAATGGAACGTATCCTTAGATGTATATATAAAGGTTATTTTAATATCTAGCACACACTGGAATTGTGCCCCCCTTAATTACTACTTAATTACCTTCTGAAGAAATTTAATACAAGCAGTGCCAGAGACACAATGCATATAGTAAGTGTTATTTTATTCTCCACTGGTTCCTACACCATCCTCTTCAACAGCTAAATCCTTTCCTGATAGAATCTGAAATCCTTTGGTTAATGTTTGGCAAGCTTGCAATGCTACCACTCTTTACTGAAAATGAAATTCATGTATCCCAACATAGCAGTGAGCACTATATGTGTGTCTTGAAGTCAGGCAATGAGAAATAAAAAAATACATTAATAGAAACACAAGCCATTCATTTCACACCACTGAAACCATTTTTACAGGAAATCTGCAAAGTTTGTTTAAAACTTCTATGGAATTAACAGCTTGTGTACTGTTGAACAGATGCTGTACTTGAATCTCCCAGTTTAAGGAGACATGCCTGCTACAAGAGTCTGAAGCATCACTTATGGAGTATCTATAGGCTGCCTTCCTTAGATATGCAAACTTACAGTTCTACATTTTCTATCTGTCACTGAACAGCAAACCACCACAAGGAAAGGACAGTCCTATTTCTTATAAGACAATAAAATTTATCTCTTTTTTGCAAACAGTTTTTGTAATTTTTTCTTCTAGTCAGGGGGTTGTGATAATTTAAGTCAGAAACAGAACTCATGCAGCCCTGAAATGTCTCTCTGCTACATGACTGGCCAGAAGAAGACAATTTAAACTTGCATTCATTCCAGTGGGTCAATTTGTATTGCAATTCTTTGACCAAGCTGTTTTCTTAGGCGATGAAGTGAATATGCAGCAGAGAAAGACAACATGCATGGAAACTTTCAATATCAAAATCTGACTTTTACAGAAAGCGAATTTGAAATTAAAAAAGTAGAAAACCATTACCTAATTAATAGAAGAGAAAATTTCTCTGAAAAATGTATTTTAGTGTTGTTTATTCACCAAGATAACATACTGGCAAAGCTGTAGCAGGATGAGCAGTCAGAGTATAACATTGGAAGCTGTAAAACAAAGCAGATTGCATTACGTGGTTGCTGCTTCCTTTCAGACATCAATGCCACCATTTCACTGGCTGGATATGCAGCATGCTCAACCATACCCTGTCAAGGACCATTAATTAAAAACACAAGGGATTTGTTTGTTTGTTTTTTAATAATAGATACCGGTGTTCAGGGAGGAAACAAATTGTTATTTTTTTTCCACCTGCTAAGCCTTTAGTTCATGCATCTGAGTCCTCCTTTCTAGGCTTAAACAGTGACAGGTTTCTTTAGCTGAAGTTGCCATTCCCTGACAGCCAGCAGCTGCCATGCATGGAGGCCACAGGAAAAGCCACCAGGTGTTTTGGGTGAGCCTAACAAACGCCAGCTCACCCTGCTGCCAGTACAGCTGCTCAGAGACACTCAAAGCACTTTGAAAACCCCGTTATGGACAAGGATACGAACGCTGTAAAACATCAAGCCTTTGTCAGGGTAAGCACTGCAAAGGAAGCCCATGAAGAGGCGGGGGAACTTGTCACCTACTAAGGTAGAAGTCACTCAGGAGAGCAAATCCTAGAAAGCGGTTAAGGTCGACATGTATACGTGTACATATAAAAAAAGAATACGGGAAGCTGTGCCTCCCATAAACTCTTATCAACGGCCGCTCGCTAGCAACCCGCG